GTGACGGATCTGATGATGTTTCACTGAGAGGTAGGAAACATGAGTAGAGGGGAAAAAACACTGACTTAAAACGCTCTGGACACAGATAGCTGCACCCAACTCTCTTAGCTTTGGCTAAAGTAAATCCAGAGAAAGGGGAAAAAAACAAAAATTATTGGTGGAGACTGTCCACACCAGTCCTTCAAAAAGCGAGGCCTTTGCTTTAGCGTCATTTGGGTCGCTTCAGCTGTTGTTGGTTCACAAGAACAAAAAACGATGTTTGAACACTGGAAAGAGTACCTCTGACCAGACCATTAGAAGACTGACGATGATAAAATAAGTTCGCTGGTGAGGATTCTCAATCATCCAGGTCATAGTCATTCCAAAAAATTTAAAAAACAATCCACTGGACTTTGTTTCCAAATTCATCTTATATCCAGAAGTGTTGTAAATGGCTTTAACCAACCACTAACCATGAGAGAAAGACATGTTTTTATATCTATAATATTCTCAGAAAAGTTACCATTTAACATACATGAACATAACAGGAATAATCTTTTAACGCCTATATATAGTAGCAGCCGATTGGCAGCCCACCTCCCTGCAACTCCCAGCAAAATCCCATCCATGAACCCAACATATTTCTGTACTCAGACTCCACGCTTTCCCTGAATTAAAGGGTCTGACCAGGAGATGATGCGTCTCTTTAAGCCGGGCATACACTGTATGATTTTTGCAGTCGTTGCATGCAGCTGCAGCTCACACTGAACGAGGAAACCCTGCAGTTTCCTCGTACAGAGTGAGTTCACAGCCCACAATGCATGTTCAGCATGACGCTCTGATCCAATCTACCTGCAGGTAGCTGCAGGTTTTCTTTCCAACCAAGCAATAGCAACCAGACTCCAGTCACCTCATCAAGTGAGTCTAATCTTAACATAATGGCTTGATGAGATGAATTAAGTCTGGTGTGCTATTTGCTTGGTTGGAAAGAAAACCTGCAGCCACACTGCCATTTCTGCAACCAGTTTGACACCCCTGCTTTATAGGGAAGGTTACCGTTTTTGATTACTTACATACCCGTTATAAATGGAGTCCCCCCGTCCCTCAGTGAGATCTAGAAGCGCAAGATCTATATCCAGCCATTCAGCAAAGATGTTGCTACATGGCTGCACATCTTATTTTGGCATTTGACCAGTTAGATGAGGCCTTGAATGATTATTAATGTAAATTAAGTTGAAAAAACAAGTTAACAAGTCACAAAAAAAAGTTAATAAGCCTAGTTAACAATTATATTTAGGTTTATAAACTAAAAAATGTAAGTGCCAGTATCAGGATTAATTCCTCTAAGGTTATGTTGTACCAAAAAAAAAAAGTTTCTTTCACTCTCAGAGTGTTTTTCATAAATTTCTTATAGAAGCAATTTTGTTATTTTTCTTAATATTTTCGGGCATGTTTACATAAATTTTTGCCATCAAAATATCCATATTTATTGAATGTTACAAAGGTAATACGATCTTCTCCTGTATTCCAATAACACTATTGGCTTGAAATTTTGATTCTTTATTTTTTTTTATCAATGAGAGCCCTACAAAGGGTTAATGTCCACGAATCATGACAGAAATAATATTTTAGTACAAAGATTGATGTTTAAAAAGGACCAGACAAGGACCAGCCAAGGAGCCATAAAGGCAAGTAGGGGAATTTTGAATGGCTACTACTGTATAGCCATCAGGGATGTGTAACTACATTAGGATCATCCTTTATGAAGACTATTGGAAGGCGATTATACCAGAAAAGATCAGATCACATTATCAAGCTTGCACACACACTCCTACACACACCTATGGTCTTGGCCAGCTCTCTGCACTCGCTGATGTGGGGAAACCGTAGCATTTCTCTCCATTTCCAGCTCCTTCCTTTGCTTCCTCCACCTGTGGAACAAAAAAACAAAAACATACCAAACAGGTAAATAGGAAACATCTTAATGCTGACGAGTCAGCAGTGCCACCATGCACACATCTACACACACCTAGATCATCAGGTTTCAAACAATAGTACGCTCCTCTACAGTGAATGAACTATTATTAGCTCAAGGAACATGTAAGTAGAGCCTGTATGACCACATTACAAACTCAGAGGAGGAATTTTGGTTCCTCAAGACACATTTGTTTACCAACCCAGGGAAGTCACTATGTCAGCAGGGTTTAAGCCTTCTGATTTTCTCTAAAAAGGTTTCCCCTGGTAAAGAGACAATCTCTGTGGGGGTCGTACATCCCACCTTTCCTAAAATGTTACTCCAAGGAAGCAGGGGGAATATCCTGACCTCACCTTTACGTTCCGATAATCTTAAAGCTACAAAAAAACTTAGATATCTACATTAAAATAAACAAACATCAGAATTAAACTTGAAATTATACTTTTTTGTCCGTTAAATCTCTTTGAAACCTTCCAGAGTTACATCTGCACAGGAAAATGTTAATCCTCCTTACCTTCTCTGGCTCTAACAAGAGCGCTGTTTTGCACCATGTTGTCAATATCCATATTAAAAGGTTTGATTTAAAAAAACGTCCTTTTTTAACTTTTCAGGAGACACATCAGACCTTTGGGTCTGCAGAGGTTCAGAGCTTCGCAGAAGCCTTTAACAACTAAAAGTGAGCTAAAACAAATGAGGTGTGCAGTCTAACCTGTTACTCACCAATGAATGGAAACACTTGTTGTGTGACATTGTGCTTGAAGCCAGGAAACACTCCCTCGTCGCAGAGGAGGGACCAAACTCCAGCAGTCTGTGCAAGTCTATGGCAAAGGAGCGTGGAAAGAATTCAAGTGAGGACAGGAGAACAAAAAACAACAGATATGTTCTGGCACTCCCAAGCTCATGTAGAAATCAAATCAGTTCCAAAAAATTAAACTCACTCTGTTTACTTCAACAAAATAAAATCAAAAAGTGCTTATTTAATGGTTTAAACACAAATGACCTTCTGTTTTACTCACCAGCCACTTTATTAGCTTCCCATTCAGGGTCTCACCATTAAATTCTATAACAAATGTTTTATTGATCTAAAAAAGAAATTAAATGTTGCAGTAAATCAGATTGTTCATTCTTTTTAATTAATTGTAGATATTGAAAGTTGCAGGAAGGATGGATCTTCTGCAGCTCTCTGTCTTGCACTGAATCTACAGAACTTTCTTAGCTAAATACAGTCTGATGAAGAGGATGCTCAGGTTTGTCCGTAATATTCTTTATTTTGTTTTTCTGGTCTGTTCCTGCAGCCACTTAACTACTCAAAGGTTGAAGTTTGAACAGGCTCTCCTATCAATCATTATGGGCGATGTGAGATCTTTAGAAAACAGGGTAGAAAAACATCAAGCCCTAACAGGGACCATACCAGAAGGTTTACTGAAACATGGCTGCAGGATCATATCCCTGACTTCATCGTCTCTATACAAGGCTTTCCTGGTAGACATCATGTCAGACGGTGTCATCAAGGAAATGTTACTGTAAAGTGTTGTCTCTGCTGCACAGATTTAAATTCTTTACTAATATATATCTTTTTTTTATTTTCACATGTATTTCTAACAAGTTCTGGAGCGACTTCAGTTCACAAACAAAGCCACTGCCAGCCGATTTGTTGAGATTTATGACGCATCTTCGCTAAGCCACATTCAATCAGAGCTTTGTTTTGATTATTTATTTTAGAATTAAAATAATTACTTTTAGCACCTAAACAAAAAATGACAGTGAGTTTTTGTCGCCACTCCCTCAGCATATTGATGAGCATTCCACACCCACCGTGCAATTACCTGAGGTGTGAGAAAATCTTAGCAAATGTGCCACCAAAGTAAATAAACTAAACAAACTTTAACTTTGGCTCACAAGTTAATTTGTCTGTGTTTTACAGTTCTTTCTGATTTTACAGTATTTTTTTTCCTGCCCCCAACTACCTACACCCAGTAATCAATCCACATTTCTCATTTAATCCCAGTATAAATCCAACTGTTTTATGTAGATCTCAGATGTTTGTTTTAAAAACAGCAGAAAACAAATAGTAGAAACCAGAAAAGACAGCAGAGAGGGAGAAAGTTATGTAAAAGTTAAGGCAGAGATAGGCTCTACAATAACTTCCTAATCTCAGGTCCATTATTACATTTGAAAAGAATGCGACAAAGATTTACATCTTTCCATTCATCCCTGTTGAGCTAAACTGAAAGGTAGCTTAAGGGGCACATTATTATGAAAAATGACCAACTAAGAAATGTTCTGCTATATGTAGTGAGGACCTTGGCTTTCATTGACTTTCAGTAATTTTCAACCCTTTCTATGCCCTAACCCAGGGGCAGAGGTGGAAAGTAATGAAATACATTTACTCAAGTTACTGTATTGAGTAGGTTTTTTGTGTATTTTGTATTTTTCAAGTAGTTTTTAAAATTGGTAATTTAAATTTTACTTGATTACGTTTTGAGTGAAGTATTGTATTTCGTTACATTACAAATCCCATCCGTTACTGAGTAAGAAAAAAACGTTGGAAAACCGAAAGGAAGACAAAAAAATTCTGTAGGAGATTGGGAACGAGATGGAGGTGGATCAGGAGAGCGACGACGGTTCAGAGAATGTTTCACTAGAAATGCGAGATAAAAACATCGAATTCTGCTGCCCAAAACGACAAAATCCTTGGCCACATTTAAAGGACTGCTTTTCATTTAAATTCAAGAGGGCCAACAGTATCATCATGCAATGCCAGATGTGTCTGCCAAAGGTGACTGAACTGGCAACAACTAAATAGTTTTGGATTTGATTTATGACTCCTTGTCCTATTTTCACTACATGGGGCAGATCCCCTGCCCCGTTCCTTTTACTTGAGTAATTTTTCTGATGGGTAATTTTACTTTTACTTGAGTAATATTTCATCCAAGTATTGGTACTTTTACTTGAGTATGATATTTTAGTGCTTTTTCCACCTATGCCCAGGGGTAACCAATTAAAAATCAGCAGGGTCCGAATAAAGAAAATCAACAACCAGTAAAGGTCCGGAGACATTTTTTGTTATAATCTGTCAACAGCCGGATCAAACGTTGCATTTCCGAATTCTCCCGAGTGGTGCCTAACTTTACTTTACTACTTGGATTTTATTAAGGGGGCGGGATTGTTGTGGTAAAAGGTTCGCAAACAAGCTTGGTTGTAGCCGATTTGTTGGAAGCATCTTGCTAACCAGTTAGCAACTTAGTGCTAGTAGGTTCCCAAGTAGCACTAAATTGGTGACTTAGAAACGACACTGTCGAGGAACGCTATGGACAGAGGAAACATGCAAGAGGAGGAGAGTTTAGTGTCAGAGGTCGTGGATGAGTCTCCTCCATCTTACATTTTTTATTTAGAGGAGGAAAGCGGGGACAAAGATGTTGTGGAAGAGGACGCCAGGGCGGCAGAAGCTTGGTTTGGTGTAGAAGGCTTACAGCCGTACATGTTTGAGCCCTTGCCTCGCAACGCTGCCAGTTCTGTTAGCTCTACGCCTG